CATCACACAGGGTATCAAAAGTGGTTTCTGTTTGTGACGACTGCCGCCACTGTCAATACCACTCGAACCACCAGCCACTGCCCTGCATCGGGACACCTTATTTAAATTCTATCTCCGGTGCAAACTTCCTGGACAGAGAAGGGTTGCGGAACCCAACTGGAGCAGCGGCATAGGAGGATGACGCATCCACTCGTTGGAATATGGGCAGGTCCTCCCAAGATAACCGTTGCAATTGTTTCGCATTGGGTTGTCGCGCAAACAATGTCACATTACTATGGCTAGCCAGAAGCTCAGGAATGCATGCCGTAATGCACCTTGTGCGGCGGAACTCCTCCGTGCCCATACTCAACAGATGCGCCTCCAAGTCATCAAAACATCACGAGTGATGCAAACATTTCCGGCGCGAGCAGTGTCTCCTTCACTAAGGGCTCGCATCTGCGTGACCGTCCTCGTTCCCTCCGTGTCCTCGGCAAGGGCCAGCACTGCTACACTTTCCGGTGGAAGCACCCAACGGCAACCACGAGGCACCACCTCATCGTCGTATGCGTGCAGGCTAGCGACGTGCACAATATGCGCACATGGAAGGCGCCACTGACGATTAACTCGACATCCGCATGCACAGCCATTCTCAATGACCACAAGTTGCATGCCCAGACGCTGGTCATCCACCAGCCAATACACGCCGTCCGGGTTCACACCGCGAATGCGAACTCTAAGACTGCGTCGCACGTACTGCCGCCGGGCGTATGAAGACATCTTCCCCAAAATCACCTGTCCACTACTTACACCCTGCTCAAACTCCACATACCAAGCTTATCCATTGCAAGGACGGTTTCCCTCTCCTCCAAAATACCACCGCAACGTTGCACTATCGCCTGAAACAGGTACGTAGAGTGGACCGCTCACTCAATGTTGCTTTTAAATGCTTATTCTCCTGCTCAACGCGATCGGTGCTGTCGCTCCCAAATAACACCACGTGCCCATCAACTGCACCACCCAACTAAACCGCCATGGGATCCACGTGCGACGGAGGTACTGGAAACATTCCGCGCTGCGCACCGATATACCCTCCAGAAGCCGATGATACTGCGCGCAATCGTGCGTATACCACAACAACCGCAGAATGTTGAACAGAGCCCTTTTATCCTCCGTGTTACAGAAGGGAAGTGAGAGCAACGCCGCTGCATGTCACCCATAAGTTGTACCCAGCAGAAAACTATGTTTGCAGTTGGATACGCATTGCGAAGCGGATCACTTGCGCCGCGCACTTGTCCATGACCAAGGTTCGAGCAAGGTCAACCCCGGGGGCCAACTCCAGCATGCTTCTCACTGCTACTTGGTAAGTAGCCTCCGCCTCATTGGGCAAAATCGCATAAAAGTTGCTCATACGAAGGCAACTGGCGTCCACAAACGTACAATGCCATAGGATGTAACCGCCATAATTGAGCTGATATATGGTATCCGCCAAGGTACTTCCCCTTATTTGCCCACCAATTCCGGCACGCTCGAGGGGACGAGAAAGAGGTACGGAATCTCATTCCCGTTATGCATAATTTTTACTTGACCATTTTTCGCAATAGCTGCGTAACCTGCTCCACTTCCGTGAGACAAGCGTTACGTGGACGCCGCCGTATGTGGAACAAATTGCACCTTGTTAAACGAAACTTATATTGAAGATGCTGTTGGGAGGAGCCTATGATACTAGTCGGTAAGCAATGACACGTAATACGTGTCAAATACGATAGTACAGAAGTCAGAGGCGACTGAACCCAACGTATATTGTGCAGGCCACAAGAATAGGAAGCGAATCAGCCAGAGCGAGAAACATGCAGCGAGAAACTCACCAAACCGGTTGGTGTCAATCGACGTGCAGTCAGTAAAACAGATGGACCTTTTGAAGGTTAAAACAACCGTAAAATGCAATGTTACAAAATACTGAAAGTTTGTTTTCCGGTACACTACAAGGACCTCCACCTAGAAGGCTGAAGGATGGAAGCCTTCGATGGAGCCGTTAGTGGGGGAGAACGGAAGGTGAGGGTGGATGCGAATATTTGCAGGGACTTGGGTAAGGGCTTCCAAAGTGGGATGGGTAGCAGAGTTCGCTGGGTCCAGGCTTTTGCTAGTTATTATTTATGACGATCGTGTGGACCATAGTGCATCATCGGTGGGCCGTCGGGGCGGGCGGGTCGGACTGCAAAAAAACTGGATAGTCCAGATAAAAGGCCGACAGGACCTTCGCGTTGCTGCAGACCCGACGGGGCGCTTGGGAGGTGTCACTTCCCCCATCGCACTTTAGTCCACGGTCCTGGTCCCACGAAGAAATCCAGGCGTCCTCGTCCCACGGAGAAATCCGCGCTTCCTCGTCCCACGAAGAAATGCGGGCGTCTTCGAACCACGAAGAAGTCAGGCGTCCTCGTCGGCAATGCCCAGGCTGCGTTTGCGGACCACTCCGTTCGTGGGTGTCTGCGGTCGAGGGCGACTCTCTGTTCCTTGGATGAGGAACGGGGCTTTGGGACGACTGGCGAGTCACTCCAGGTTTGCGTTGTGCCGGTTGGGGAGTCACTCGAGGGTTGCCTCGGCAGTTCCGGCGGTTGAGTTTCTGGAAGGTAGAACTC